TCCTGAAAGAACTATGTGGCGCTTTGGCTCATCGTATGATGTATTCGCTTCCTTATCTTTTCTTTTTCTTGATTTGGTAGACATGTCCTTTACGTAGAAAACCTGCGCCACATCATTGGCTAGGACGAATGGTTCGTCTGTGTACCCAAGATTATTCCGATCCACTGTTGTTATTCCGTACTGTGGGTCTACCTGTACCCCGCCTCCTAACAGATTGACCCATTTGCACTTAAACAAAGGGACCTTAAAATCATGTCCATAGTCAAGTTCCCGTATGTCCACTATGTAACCATAATATGTGTCCTTTCCCCTCTTGGTTGCTGCATCAAAGCAGACACCACTATTTTATTTGGTGCTCTTTTGATCTTGGGTGATCATGTAAAATGTACTCCCATTTATCTCGTACCCTTTGTAAGTCATCATAGTCGAAGATGTTTCCCTGGCCAACGAGTACAACTCATCAGAAACAGTGTTGTCACCCCTGAGACATGTTTGCAACCAACTGCCATAAGTCCTGATGTGTTCACATGTAATCTAGTCGTCACACTGGTCCGGGTGTTTGGAGCGCAGAATGTTCTTGTGTTCATCGACATACGGGGTCACCAAGGTAGAATTCTGTAGAACTGTGTAGTGTGCTTGAGACCAAGAATGCCCGTCCCTACATATTATTGAGTCCCGTCCTAGCATGCCTTTTCCACTCAGTCTCCCCTCATACCGCGATTGAGGGAGACCAATCTTCTTAAGGTCAGGAATGAAATCAACACAAAACCCAATGACATCCTCTGTTTGATGGCCCATGGAGATGCTTCCTTCTGGCCTAGCGTGGTTACAAACATATTGCTTTAGGACTCGCATGAACCTCTCAAAGGGGAACATATTGTGTAGAAATACAGGGCCCAGAATGACAATCTCGTCGACTAGATTAACTAGGACATGCGTCATGATATTGAAGAAGGATGGTGGCAAAACCAGCTCGAAACTGATAAGACATTGCGCCATATTACTCCTTAACCTTGGTAGGATTTCTGGATCGATCATCTTCTAAGAGATTGCATTGAGGAATGCACATAGCTTCACAATGGCTAATCGAACGTTTTCTGGTAGAAACCCCCTCAATGCAACTAGAAGCAGTTACGTCATAATCACGTGGCAGTCATGAGATTTTAGGTTCTGGAACTTTTTCTCTGGCATATTTATTATTCCCTTTATATTCGACGAGAAGCCAGACGGGACCTTCATACTGAGCAGGCATTCAAAGAAGATTTCCTTCTCTTCTTTGGTAAGAGCGTAGAAGCATGCCATCTTTTTCGTGCAAACGTTGCAGGTCCTGCCGTGCCTCTGGTGTATCTTTTGTCTTCCCATACACGCCCAAGAAGCCTAGCAAGTTCACGCAAAGGTTCTTCGTCACGAGCATCACGTCGATTGAAGAGCGGACCTCTAGGTCTTTCTAGCTAGTAGGATAGGTCCCAAAATATAGTGTCATTCGGAACAGATAGTCCGCTGGGACCCTTTCCAAAGATTAATTTTAAATCATTGGCCATAGCAAGTACGTGATCACCGGTACACAGGGCGGGCTTCTTCCGGTGATCTGCCTCGCCTTTGAAATGCTTGCCTTTCTTTCGACATTGATGGTTGGTCGGAAGAAATCGATGATGCCCCAGGTACACATTCTTCCTGCATTTGTCCAGGTATATACTTTCGGTGTCATCTACACAGTGCGTGCATGCGTGGTATCCCTTGTTTGTCTATCCTGAAAGGTTACTGAGAACAGTCCAATCATTGATGGTTACAAACAGCAACACATGCAGGTCAAATTCCTACTGTTTGTGCTCATCCCACACACGTACACCATTTCCATTCCACAGTTGTAAAAGTTCTTCAACTAATGGCCTTAGGTACACACCAATGTCGTTGCCGGGTTGCTTAGGGCCTTGGATGAGAACTGGCATCATAATGAACTTCCGCTTCATGCACAACCAAGGAGGAAGGTTATAGATACATAGAATCACAGGCCAGGTGTTGTGATTGCTGCTCTGCTCCCCAAAAGGATTAATGCCATCCGCACTTAAACCAAACCATGCGTTCCTTGCGTCACCTACAAACTCCTCCCAGTACTTTCTCTCAATTTTTCTCCACTATGACCCGTTAGAGGGTGCTCTCAACTTCCCATCTTTCTTACGGTCCTCTCTGTGCCATCGCATCAACTTGGCATGCTCTTTGTTTCTGAACAGGCATTCCAACCATGGTATTATGGAGCATACCACATCACCTTGGCAGGAACCCTCTTCCCGGGGCACTCGTCGTCAACATCACCAGGGTCATATCGTCTGATCTTATACCGCAATGCACTGCATACCGGGCATGCATTCAAATCCTTGTATGCACCGCGGTAGAGGATGCATTCATTAGGGCATGCATGTATCTTCTGCACCTCCAATCCTAGAGGGCATACGACCTTCTTTGATGCGTACGTACTGTCGGGCAATTCGTTACCCTTTGGAAGCTTCTTCTTCAATATTTTCAGCAGCTTCTCAAATCCTTTGTCAAGCACACCATTCTCTGCCTCCCACTGCAGCAATTCCAGTATGGTACCGAGCTTTGTATTGCCATCTTCGCAATTGGGGTACAACCCTTTTTTGTGATCCTCTAACATGCGATCGAACTTGAGCTTCTCCTTTTCACTTTCGCACTTTCTCTTTGCATCAATAATGACCCGACGAAGATCATCATCGGGCACATCGTTTGGTTCCTCTTGATCCTTAGCTTCCCTTGTTGCAGCATCTTCAGCTTCCCTCGTTGCAACATCACCGTATTCAGGGGGCACATAGTTGTCATCATCTTCTTCTTTGTTGTCTTCCATCATAACCCTTCTTTCTCCGTGTTTGGTCCAAACATTATAGTGTGGCATGAAACCCTTATAAAGAAGGTGGATGTGAAGGGTTTTCGAGTCAGAGTAAGACCTCGTATTCCCACATATAGGGCATGGACAACACATAAAACCATTCTTCTTGTTTCCCTCAGCCACTGCGAGAAAATTATTCACGCCCTTAATGTACTCAGAGGTGCGTCTGTTACCGTACATCCATTGTCGGTTCATCTCTGCGTACATCGTGAATAGATAAGTGACCAAATTACTAGAAGTTCATCATCACATTAAAACTAAAGTACATACATAGTTCTCATTGAACAACATATAGCTCTCCAGAGCATCTAATTAAACCATACATTGAAACAATGTAAAACATTTCAATGCAACAAGAAATGTGATCATAACCGCAACCAAGGTAATAATTGATCCAACGGCATAATGATACCAAGCCTCAGTATGAATGGCATATTTTCTAACCTTCTAATCTTCAAGCACATTGCATCCATCTTGATCTTGTGATCATCGATGACATCCGCAACATGCAACTCCAATATCATCTTATCCTCCTCAATTTTTCTTCAAGTAATTGTTTTATTCTTCAACTAAATTTAACCTCTCGACAATAGGGTCGGTTGGATTTCCGGTTCACATACCTCCTAGATAAAAAATCTATGTCATGTTGCTTGGCATAATTGTCATAGACACTAACTAAAGCTAAATGGTTATAAAAGAAAATATATATATATACCACATCTGAATCATAGACAAGACGAGGGCCGGCAGAGGCGGATACCAAAAAACCATCACACTATATAACAACAAACAATAATAAGTAAGAAAACTACACAAGTGTCTATCTAAATCATACAAGTAAGAACTTTTTCCTTTTAGAAAGAAGATAAGATCAAGAGGCTCACCACGGTGGTGCAGGCGACGAGATCGGCGCGGGCCATCAACGGCGGTGAGAATGGGGATGGGACAGGATGGACCGCCAAACCTAGACAAATCTCGAGGAAAATGGAGCTTGGACAAGGAGCTTCGAGACGAGAAAGCTTAAATGTGGCTCGGGCATTTCATCGAACACCTCATGTGCATAGGAGGTGAGCTAGAGCACCACAAATCTCTCCAACGGCCGGCCAGAAAAACTGAGCAGTGGAGAGTACTCTGCTCGCGGGTGAGGGGGTATATATAGGCATCTCATTGGTCCCGGTTTGTGGCTGGAACTGGGACAAAAATACACCCTTTTTGTCCCGGTTCAAGCCACCAACCGGGACCAATGGTGGTGGGCCAGGAGCGAGGCATATTGGTCTTGGTTCGTGCCTGGAACTGGGACCAAAGGGGCTATACGAACCGGGACCAATGCCCCACGAGGCCCGACCGGCCCCCCTGGCCTCACGAACCGGAACCTGTGGGGGCATAGGTCCCGGTTCGTGACTGAACCGGGACTAATGGACTGGCCCAGCCTGAACGAAAAGCCTTGTTTTGTACTAGTGCAGGGCATTAGAAATTTATGTTTACATAGTGATATACAAGTAAGTAGGCTTTAAATAGAAATGATATTAGCCTACAGCTCAACTATTCAGTTTCAAGATCAGATGCCCCTATAGAAGATCACCCATAAACCACCCAAAACTACCAGAGACAAGTAAACGAAAACTGATACAAACTATTAGTAAAAAAAATGGCCTGCTTAGAAGAACTAGAGCAAGCAACCAGCAAGCTAGATTAAAACTGCATCCTCAGCATTGATCAACACATTGTGGGCAACTGGCCATCAACAAATCCAAAATTGTTTCCCGTGGAAAAAGAAGCCCAAAAAAATTTCATCCACACGGAAGTTTGAGACTTCATATTATCTTCAAAGCCAAAGTGAGAACATTCCTTCATGGAAAGATAGATTGATGATGGCATTGAAATCTTCAATGTCCATTTCAGAACATACAGACGCAGAGTGTGCAGAAATGCTACTCAATGATATTTCAAATCACTTGCGGGATGCCCTAATCTCGCATTCTCTTGGTTGCAACATGTGTGTCAATATGACATGACGAAGGACAAGTTCATAGCAGCACTATGCTTTCTTCTTGACTGACTAACATGATGCATACTAATTTTCATACCCGTTCTTTGATCATGCAACCCTAAACCCCAAATCTGATCTAGTGGGTACTTCCCCTCTGCAAGCATCGACATAGTCATCAGCAAGGTGGGGTGCTGCTTCCTTGTGAGGGCATATGAACTTCTCCATGAACACCTTCTCGCTGATAAAGAGTGTTTTATAGTAGTCCCGGCCACGATCTAGCAATTCATTTTCCTTGAGAAACTTCACAACGTAGTACCGGGGCCTGAGCCAGCCCTCCAGGCTGTAAGAGAGCAATATCGGACGATGAGCAATGTATGCCGGTTCCAGACCCACCTTAGAGATGAGGAACTCTGACCTGCTCTGCAGAGAGTCCTTAGACCTCGTCAGAAGGATTGGAAACTTGGACACAACAATGCCGACTTGAGCATCTGACCACCTAAAGGTTTCCTTCAAATACACCACTTTGGTGGCAATCTTCTCCTCGCCGAGGAACACAACAGCACGCACTGCATATATGAACATGCGAGATCCACGGGGCACACCAAGACTTTCAGCACATGACACCATTGGCCGGATGGATTCTACATTGGTGGTGAGCAGCCATGGATTAGGGATGCACAACTTGACAATGTCGCAATCACCCAGCCCCGAGTCCCACAGGGCCGCGACGTTGGGCTTGACCACCCTGTCGAGGTCAGATGCGATAAGGTAGAAGTTGCGATTGAGAGCTTGGAGGGTGTTGTCGATGGAACCAAAGAGGAGCAGGTAGTACCGCAGCTTGGAGACGATGGATGTGAGATGTAAGTTGCTGTGGCAGTAGGAGGCGAGGCGCGCGATCTGAGAACGCGAAAGGCCAAGGCCGGTGAGCTGGGCGACGACGGGGCCAAGGTATCCCTCCATGTTAGAGCAGAGTACCTTGGGGTCTCCCGCGACGACGGCGGCGACGTTGGAGCTGGAGAAGCCGTGGCCGGCGAGGAAGGAGAGCATGGCGTCGGGCTTGGCAGGGGATTTGAGGTGGGAGAGCTTGGCGGAGGCCTTGAGTGCCTGCACTCGGGAGAGGCCGCCGGTGGGGACGAGGTAGTCCTCCACCGCGAAGCTAAGGTTTGGGGAGAAGGCGGGCGCAGCGGCAGCGGCAGAATGGGCCGGTGGAGAGAGGAGCCGTCAGAGGTGGCGGGATATGAGCGGATGCGGGCGAGGATGCAGCACCGGAGGCGGAGCATGGTGGCACTGTGGCGCGCCGGAAGGCGGCGGCGGTGGCGGTGGCATGGGGGGGGATGAGTGACGAACGGCGGCCCGTTGGTTGGTGGGAAGAATGAATCATGGTGTGGGTCCAGCCTAAGTGGGCTCCCACGCATCAATCTGATGGTGTCGGTAGAATTACGGGGCTTTAGAATTTTTGAACCCTTCAAATATTTCTTTTTGTTTTTTTATTTTTATTTTTTTGCGTGAGAAACTTTCAATCTATTTATTTTTTATCATGGCAGTACAAAGAAAACCAGAGGTAATAAAAATTACAACCAAGTTCATGAACCACCTAGCGACGATTAGAAGCACTGGAGTGAGGCGAGGGCGCGCCGCCATCATCACCCCTCCATGTCCATTGCTGGAGCGAGGCAAACCTTATTGTAGTAGAAAATTGGGAAGTTTTCGGCCCATTAAAACCAGCGCATCAGAGCGGCAATCGTCGCCGATGAAAAAACCTTGGGGGAGGAAAGAGAAATTGCTCCAAAATTCTAAAACCAAGTTGGCTTACCTGAGTCTGGATCCAAAATCGCTCTTCCTCTTCTCTTCTTTCTCTTCCTCTTCTTCTTCCTCCTCTTCTTCTTCTTCGTCTTCTTCTCTTCCTCTTCTCTTCTTCCTCTTCCTCTTCTTCTTCCTCCTCTTCTTCTTCTTCGTCTTCTTCTTCCTCTTCTTCTTCCTCTTCTTCTTCCTCTTCTTCTTCTTCCTCTTCTTCCTCTTCTTCTTCTTCCTCTTCTTCATCTTCCTCTTCTTCTTCATCTTCCTCTTCTTCTTCTTCTT